GCAGATGCAAGTGATATGGGAGCATCCTTCTCCTGCCCTCCTCTCAGCAAAATAAAGGAATTCTGAAGTAGAGCACAATACTTATGGCTCTGACCTGTCAGGTGATGTTGCCACTCACTGTAGCAGATCTAAAGGTGTGCTATAAATAACCATTTGAAAACACTTAAACAATTAAACAATTTAATAATATAAAATAAAGGTAAGGGGATTAAAAAGAAAAAAGAAATATATTACTACTTGGACTTAACTGACAGAAAGGGTGGATGTCGGACTACAGAGCACTGCATGACCTGGGCAGGAAATGTGTATAGTAGAGATTATGCCTTCACTTAACTAAAGGAATTAGTACAAGTACTCACAGTGTATTTCAAGTACTCAGTTCTAGTGATTCTGATTTCTTGTAATTAACATATACACACAAGTGAATCTAAAACTGCAAGCATAAACGTTACTGGTTCACTGATAGATTATCACACTGCTAACAGATCAAGCTTAATCAAGTTCTATCAGGTTTTTTTTTTTTTGGATTATACACATTATATTAGACAAGTCTCGTTTCATTTAGTCTCTAAACAGCTGCATTTTATTACAGTCAGAGCTAAGTAAGTTTGCAGCAGACTTGCTGTCTTACTTGTTCTTTTACCCATGTAGGTAGAGCAATTAATGAAAAATAATTAAACACCTGGTCTAAATACATCACCTAAATAACTTTGCTGGCTAGAGTTATCAAGCTAGTGACAGCAGTAGTATCATTAATAAAATGTAGTTAAACCATTTCCTCCAAAGGAATTCAGCCACATAAAAATAGCTGCCAGATTCTCAGCTTCAGTCAGAGTTTCTGGGTGGCTTCACAGGGTGACCTTGGCTGCAAACAGCTGAATTCTCTGCTGTTGTAACAAAAGGTGGTGAAATGCAGGCACAGTTTCCTGGACACCAAGCTACACTTGAAGTATGGGATGAAGAAGGAAGCACAACGCTTCATGTTAAACTAGAACAGGAAGGATAGGCAAGAAAGAAGGCAGAGGAGTTTGCCCTCAGAGTTTAGAGGTCACTACTCTATGAAACAGACACCAGCCTTGTTAAACTTGAGTCAGGACCAGAGGAGAGCTCAGCCACCAAGAATGGGATTTTTGCTACAGACCTGGCTCTTCTGGGAGACTAATCCCACTGCTACCTGCTGACAGCACTCCAGGAGGAGGTCTGGGAGAACCCCTTGACACAGATGGGCCATCCAGGCCCCACTCTCCTGGTCCTGCCACTCACAATCACAGGAGTGCTGGGGGGATGTAGGAGTGGCTGAATGGACAACACCAGCCACCTGGGTGATAAAGAATAAAATATAAAACCCAAAATATTGTGTCCTGAGCGAGCCAGAGTTAAGATCAGTGTGTGTGTGAAAAGAATCACAAGGTCAAGCCAGAAAGCTGCTTGAAGCACGGTTGTTCAGTTGTTCTCTGTGGCTGGAAGCAGTCACATGGATGTGAGTGGTATGTGGGGAGATAAACATCTTGCTTGGCTGGAGAGCTCAAACCTGGGGTCAGTAGAGAGTTCGTATATGGAAATGGAGTAATAAAGTTACAAAAGAATTCTTCCTGGACTAAGTCTGTCTCCTGTGGATTCATTTGCTGCAAACAGTGCAGAGGGAGGACCCCTTTTCTACAGGGGGATGCATTAATCCCACCAGGACAGAGAGCTGATCTGGGGCCTCAGGACAGCAAACTGGTTTATTGAAGGAACTGGTACAGGATCCTGGGGGAGACTGTTCTGAAAGGCAAGAGTTTGAGAGTGTTGACATGTCTTCAAAGACAAGTTCCTCCCAACACAAGAATAGTTCTTCTGGATACTGAGGGAAGGGGGGGAATGTAGGTTGTAAGGAGGATGATGTGGCTAAATGAGGAACTCATGCCTCATGTAAAGGGGAGTTGGAAGCAAAGACAGACCTGAAAGGAAGAATATTGAAAAAGTACCTGGGCATGCAGGGCTGCTGTCAGGAAAAGCTCACTGAGGGTTGAAACCTGCAAAGGGTGTGATCAGCAGCAAAAGCTTCTACTACGACTTTAACAATAAAATAATAAAGCTAATAGTGCTGAGTGAGGCAGTGACAAGTGAGTGGCATTCAGACCTTCCTTTGCCTGCCTTCACTGAAATGCTCTCGCAGAGTCAAAGGAGCAGAGGAAGTACTGGTGACAGAACAAGCATCTCCTGGAAAGTTTCAACCCAAGGAAGCCCACAGGATGGATCCAAGAGCACTGGGAGCACTGGCTGATGTCACTGAGAGGCACCTCCCTGTAACCACCCTGGCTGTGGAGTTAGGATGCTGCAGTCTGGATGAGTGGAGAACAAGATGGGTGAGGGACTGGTTGGACTGCTGGGCTCAAAGGGTGTTGGTTAATGGAACAATATGGGAAGTTTTCATACAACAAGACAGAAGGTTCCAACTTGATATAGAACACTTTTAGAAATTAATTTCCAGGGGCTTAGAAAAATGCAGCGAAACAAACACATTATCCAATCAACAATATTTTGCATTTTGCAGATTACCAATTTTGCCATAAGTTATTAGAAAGTTATATTGTACTTAATGCACACAAATGTCTTCAGAAGTAAGCCTTTCATTGTCGGGGTGTATCTTGGTGTAAGCATCGAGTTTACAGAAATTATATTCAGTGACACAGTTGCACTGTAAGGTATTGCTTAAAATTCTTGATTATGTACCACAATATTAGTGTTACCAGGAATAGATATCCTATTCTTGATTATGTAATCAAGAAAAACTTCTGAAAATAATATTCAGAGTACAAACTACTTTTAATCAGCAGCTAAATACCAAGATATGATTACTTCGTTGGTCTAATGACATCTGTAATGGATTCCAAGTGCTGTGCCTGATTGCTTCCCAGCTGATCAGGATTCTGCTCATCACTTCTAGCTGCTGGAATTCTGAGATTTCTTGGAGTTCCTGTGCAAAAGGCTTCCACACTGTTCCAGCTAAATGACTACAGTGCATGCTTTAAAACAGTCACCAAAACCTTTACACTCAGTACTCCAGGATATAATATTTTAAGAGAAGCAAGGAAAACCTGTTTCCTCCCTCCTTTTTTATTCACAGGCATTGATTATAAAGCAAATAGATCATAAAACAGAGGTGAACTTCTCTTTCTCAATAACCACACTGCAGTAGTAACTGATACACCTCCAGTAATGCTGATGTCTTCAGTTTTAATACAGGTGATACACACAAGTGATTTAAAAGGCAATTTGAGACATGAAGATGCATGTACAAGACAAATTCTCAACTGTTAAACTTAAATCAATGTCTTGTCTCATGTAATTTCTGATTTTTGCCTGCTGAAAAAAATGAATTTTTAATCCTGCATTTTACAGAACATAAGGGAATTGACACAGCAATTATTCTCGGGAGAGACTCCTCAGTTGAGAAGTATGAAATAATTTGAAATAATTACAGTACCATTCTACTACAGACATGCATTACACAGGTCTAAATATCCTTAGCTAAAACAGTGAAAATATTTAAATTTCTCTATGAAAAGAAGCATTTCAACTGGTCTTCAATGATGCAAACATTTATATGTTTACATTACCTGAAAAATCTCTATTTGCTAAAATATTCTTAGATTCTCTGCTGAAAAGGTAGGATGTAAAACACTCATTATTTGCCCTGAATTTTCTTCCTCTTACAAGGGATACTGAAGACAAAACATTTGGAACACTTACACAAATTAAAAGTTCTAATCAAAATATTTCTTAAAACTCTGCTACAGGAAGGACAGATGATCTTTAAGAAGAGATTATTTTATGATTCTGAGTTAAACCTGAACTTCCAAAATTAATGGAAGCACATAAACCAACAAAACTGCATAATGGCACACTTTATTATCGAGCTACTGAGGTGTTACACAGTAGATTCAATCAAGCCTAAATCTGTTGGTTTTTACACTTTCCCACTCTTTCAGCAAAATTGTGTTCTGATCAAAAGTACGTGTGTAGCCTCTAAATAACGTCAATCAATTTGACAGCTAAGCTTGGAAATTAACACTGTGGGACACTGAAGGAATTAGGGAAAGGCCTCCAACACGCTCAAAACCTCGCTGTGCAGCAAGGGCTGGGGAGCAGCACTTTGGGTGCAAGTGGAGTGCAGGCAGAGCGTTACATAAAGCCCACAGGACTATCTGCAAGGGCCCTGGGTGGATTGCTGTGCTCACAGATACACAGCCAACCAAGGCTGTGGGCAGCTCTGCTTCTTACCCAGGCTAAGAAATGTAAGACACTGGGCTTAGATCTGCTTTTCAGATCAGTTGGCAGCAGGTAACATCACTTTTTATTTCACTCCCAAGAAAAGGACGTCTCTTCATCACATAGATAATATCAGCAATCTGTTTTCAAGCTGCAGCTGTCAAAGCTCGTAACTCACCTTTCTAGAGGGTCTGTTGCTCTTCCTGAGTGTCTGCACAAACACACTGAGCTCAGAGTCCCACAGCAACAGCAGAGAATTGCTAAAACTTGAATTCCTTGACTGTCAGCATTTAGAAAAGGTAAATATTGAAGCATTTATTAAGCAATAAAAAGCCAGAGAATTCTCTGAGCTTTACTCACTTTAGGTACTCAAAAGCCATATCCATTTTTTATTCTTTTCCTGGCATTGTTTTTCCCCAGTGGTTACTGCCCCCTTTTTTATCTTCTCACAGCACTTTGTTTAGGGAGAAGTAATTTGAATGGGTGTTCTTAGGACTTTTATTTCAAAGAAGATTTCCTACTGAAAAGGATGCAATTAACTAACGAAAGTACAGCCCTAAAATGAATGACACGGGAAGTCAGATGAAGAAAATGGAAAAATATCACAAGAATCATCTACAAATCACACCTTTTTTCCCAAAACACCAAAACAGTAGCATAACAAGTCAAGGAAAGTAAATCAGCCTTACTGCCAATCTGAAATATGAAGGGAGTTACAACCCCCACTCTGCATTTAATTGCCTTACCTGGCATTCCATGGACAAGGTCCCCACACAACACAAAGAACTTGGGTTTAGGGTTTAGCTTGTTAATGGCCTGCACTGCTTGCTCTGCTAATTTGATTTCTTCCGCCCATTCATCATCTCCATTATCAGTGTCTCCACATGTCCAAGCTTTCATCAGTCCGAACTGAGGATCTGCCCCTTGGATGAAGTAGAAGGGCCCCTTCCATTGGCACTCATCATCTAAAATGAAAAAAGGAGGGGAAAAAAAGAAAATTTAAGCAGTAGAGACACTTAAAAGAGAATGAGAGTTTCCATGTATCATTAAATGGATTGTTCTTCACCTAAGTAGGTTGCCATTGCTTCCACAGAAGTACAGAATTCCGTAGTCACTCATACAGGGCAAATAAAAAGGCAGAAGTACAGAATTTTCCTCGAATGGGTAGTTATAATAAATGGAAGTATATTAATCTAATTATACCACATAGTAATTACAGACTGATTAGAGGAAAAGTGTGTGGAGAATTCAGCAAATAGCAAATGGAAACTCCAAGACTACAATGCAACACAAGTGTGTAATGTTAGATTTCATCTGATTCGTTTAAGACTCCAATTATTGGTTCTTTAATTAACAAAGTAAAACATACAGAAGTTTCACATTTTGTGGTTCCAGTAGACTTTTCCTTAAATTATTAAGGATTTAAATGCTTTTTGTTCTAGTGGTTTTAGAGAAAAGCTGGAACTGAAGTACAAACACTAGCACACTGTGGTTTCTCCAGCTGTTTGTATGCATTCATTTGTAACCTGAATGTTTCAGTTTTGAGAAACATTTACTGATATTGGAGTTTTTTAAACAGCATTTAAACTGTTAAAATCTCACTGACTACATTAATCTATGGTTGAATCTAAAGAGAAAATGAAACAGCAAATTATTTAAAATTAAAATATAATCCATAAATATACTTCCCTATTATATAAGTCTGATCTGAAATTCAGTCTGAGGCAAAACTGGTCTTCCAGTAGCAGTACAGAAGCAAGCAGCATGTCCACCTTGAACGTGCTTTGGGTTTCCTTCCACAAGAACTGGAACTGGAGCTTCTCACTTTGCAAGAAGGGGGATGGTTCTTTCAAGGAAGGTTGGAAAAGAGGTCAGAATTCCTTCCTGGCACCCAGGATATGGATAGGCTGGGTGAGGGAGAAGGAATGTGGGCAACGCCCAGAAGCTGCTTGTAATTGTCATCTGTTGCTATGGCATCAGATCATTTTGCCAAATGAAAGCTTCCACACTTTAGCTAAAGTAACGTTTAATATCTAAACAAAATTATTTATATACCACCATTGACTTATTCTACATAATAATCACGTATTTTATGGGTAGAAACTTCTAGCCACTCATTAGCTTTTAATTCTGAATTAAAATTACATAACTTATCAGAAGAAGTGAAATGAGCCATCTATCCATGAGTTTGCAATAGAAGCTTTATGGAACCAGTTGAGTGACACAAAGCAATTTAGGTTTTCATTTTATGACTTGCATGAAAAGATATGACTGCCATAAAAAGCAGCTTACATGCTGCATCAAAGGCACTGTTTGTGCAGAGAAATCAACTTACAGTTTTTATAAGTGGAAAGCTATAGAATAAAAATCAGTTAAGGAGGCTTGCATCAGAAATCTTAATGACCTATACAAAATGAAACTGAAAAAAGGGAATGTCTGAAACAGGAACTCGGTTTAGAGGAGCGGCACAATTCTCAAACTCATTAAATGGGGGAAAATACCAAATCTTGGAACAACATGGTAGGATTTTTAACACCTGTCCTTTTCTGGACAGTACAAATAATCAACACTGAGCAAAATCTACTTGTTTTGTATTGATTAATCTGAAGCCAGTAATTTTTACTGCAGTTACCTAAGTAAAATACAGGAACATTTATTTATTTTTACAGAAACTGCTTAGAAAAGAGAGCTAGTCTTTGTTTTAAGTGTCAATTATGGCCAGGCTGTGTTTCCCTTTCTGACAGGGAGTGGTGTCTGTCCAAAGGCAGCTGCAGCACCTGCAGCAGCCCAGGATGGGAGGCCCAGGCAGCAGGACTGGAGCAGGGCCCAGGTTACAAGGAGCTTCCTATATAATGCCTGAACACCCAGCAGTCTGGCAAGCAGACAGTGCACATGCACAGCCCATGCCAAGCAGGTTGAAAAGCCAGAGCAGGGGTTATTCTAATATAAGCTTCATGGATATTTTATTTTCCTGACTTATATTCATGCCAATACAGCAACTGTCTGGGTTTGAAGTACCTGAATGTTTCCAAGCCTGTGCACAGATGCTCTGGTTTGAGTGGGTGAGCGATGGTCATGTGAGGCAGAGAGAGAGACTGATAAGATGAATTTGAAAAAAGAAGTTCAGTACACAGACAGAATCAAGAAGTGGCAGAAGAAAAGAGAAACAGAAGATGCAGGGGTGGAGGTGGTGAAGAGTGGGGAGAAAAGGAAAGAGATAGGAGGTGAAAAAAGAAAGGAACTGAAAATGATGCAAAGGTATATGCTATATTCTCCTCTAGGAAAGAAAAATATAAAATGAAGAAAGTGAAGCAGGGACAACAGAAGAGATCCAGGAATCAGGGCTACCAGAAATAACATTTACTTAAAATGTTAGTTTAATTAACTGGTCTTAGTCAAATAATTCAGTCAATAGCTGTTTCTGTGGCATTCAATAGCTTATCAAATAGCTACAAAAATAACAGTAAGGTTGAATATTTTCTACCTTTGATCACTCCAACTAAAAATACTATTTAAAAACAAATAACCCTAGTGCTTATACCAAATTCCATTAGCTTAATAGTTATCAAGTGGTACTTAGTGATTTAATTTGCCACAAAACAAAAGTATTGGGAACAAAATAAGGACACTGTTTAAACTTACAACTTGATTTAAAAAAAAAAAAATCAGGAATGTGCTTTAATTACTATAAAGTACTATAAATAAAAGCAGAATATAATTAAGAGAGTTGTATTGGTACACCACTGGTGCAAGCTTGCACCTGCTACACCAACCTCTAAGCCTGCTCTGAATTCAGCTCACCAGCAAGCAACTCTTCACTGCCCTCACTGGTCTGTCTTCAGAGGAGTTGAGGCAAGTTCTTCCTTATCTGTGCAAGGTATAACTTCCATCCAGCTGAAGTTCCAAGTGTTGCAACTACTGCAATTTCACTAATTTTGCTTAAAAGTCCAAGAACAGGCCTGCACAAGAGCTCTTTCAACAGACAATATGTCAAGAGGGTAGCAAAGTGAAGCCGATGGTAAAAGCATCTTCAACTACCACAGATGGATCCAGATGTCTTTGCCTGACAATTAAATGATTTATCATAGAATCATAGAATAGATTGGGTTGGAAAAGACCTCCAATCAATGAACCTTCTTCAGATAATTCTTAGCAAAACTCCTATACCCTACTGTTCTCCCCCACCAGCTGTTTGTTGGCACCCACAAGCAGAACAGGTACTGTAGGTTGTGCAAAGGAAACTCTGCCCAGTGTCAGGCACCACAAAAGTCTGTCTGAGCTGTTTTCTGGTCTTTGCACTGAATCTCAAGAGTGCTCAAGGAAATCATTGTGCCTCTATGCCAGGGGAACGCCAAAGTCTGGCAGAGGGAACTCACAAACAGCATTGGATGCAAGGGGTGGGAGGGGAACAGCTGTTTTTGCAGTAATCATCCAGTCACGATCCAGGTCCTGGATGCTACTCCTTAAGGTTTTAGTTAAACAGCATCTACAATCACTACCATCCCTCCAGAGGCAGCAAGCAATGGCTTCTCTGGGAATAACAATAACATTAAAGGAACCTTCTCACTAGGAGTTTCAGTTTTCAAGCTTTTAGCTAGGCTAGGCAGTTGTATTACACAAGGTGCATGCTAGGTAAAGCAACAGATTAGGAGTCAATTAATAATTTCTTCTGCCTTTCTCCCTTCCATCACAAAACTGAGTGGAGCTGAGAATCTCTGCAAATTGGCTCCTCATCCCCTTGAACACAGAAGCTGTTTGCAACTTCAGAATTTACCATAACAATAAGGAAACACAAATGCAGAGAAGAGTCAGCAGACCTCTCCAATAACTGATGTACACGCCCTTTCTGTTTCTGAAGGGTAAACCATGTCTGTGGTGCTGCTCTTCCACACCAAGCCATCGAAAACTCCTATTTCAAATCCCTTTTGTTCCCAGGCCTCCTTAAGAGCTGTACAGCTGATTGCCACAGAAGAAGTCCAACTTCAGGACATGTTATGCCTCAGTTTCAATAGCTTCCTACTCCTTTTCTGCTCCCATGCATTCCAGAGTACAGATAGAGGATCAATGCAATGTATTTTTAGTAGCATTGCCTGAAAAACAGTGCCAGCTGCTAATTTTATCTAAGGATTAATTCTGTGAAGGACCAAAGTAGTCAGCAGCAATTCACAGGAGAAATCCTCAGCCGTGGATTGTGATCACAGGCAAAAAGACACTTCAAGGACTTAGGTGGGATTTCAGCTGAGCCTCACGATTTGTAGAGGACAATAGCTAACATTGCTGGGCCTTTATTTCTTCCCCTTTTGCTTTTCCTAGTTCTCCTCTCTTTTCTTTCCCTGTCTCCAAGGACCACAAACATGCATCTCTAGATATTGCTCACAGAAACACTCAGTACTGGGGGGGATGTCTAGTATTTCCCTGGGGAGATTTTTTAAAAGTGCATTCGCTGGTTTCAGCAGGATATTGGTTTTCTTCTTCCTCTACACTCTGCAACATTTAGTGGAAGCAAATTAGTCATGAAAAGTTACTCCTGTCCACAGTCTCTCTCTAGCCACCATTGTGGCAGAGGAGAACGAGACACGTGTCCAGTGCCTGCTCAGTAAGCCATGGGCAATAATAAATAGGAAAATGCTCTCATTGTCATGCTGGGTTTGTCAGGAGAAACAATTTCACTTTTCTGAAAGATCAGAGAACAGCACAAATAGATCCATGGTTCCTGCCCTGTGCTGTCTCTGCCTACAGAGGGTACCTGAGACTTTTCCAGGTAAAATTAAGCAAGGAGCACAACCTTGGTTTTCCAAAGAACCTAAATGCAGGAAGGGAAATGGAATCTTTTAAGCGAGGTCAGTATGTATACAACATAGACAATGCAATAAGCAAAAATTTGGTTTTATTACTTTCAGTCCTGAAATAGCTTAAAACCCAATAAAGGACTTGCACTAAATTATTAATAATTCCTTGTTATTTATTAAAATATTATCAATAGATATGGCCTAAAGCCCCTATCATTATTGTCTGTATGCCCAAATTCAAAAGACTTCCATCTAATGAAATGAGCATTTCTTTCAGCTGCATTTTCCATTTGCACCTGAGAGTCTAACAAAGATATGACTACTGAAGGTTGTGAGGAATGACCAAGGTAACCTGTTGAGAAAGGTTCAGGAAACAAAAAAACCCCAACTTTCAAAACAGCTATCAAAATACATTTTCAGAGAGAAAATAAAACCTTTAAAAGACCAATTATTTTAAAAATTACGTACTACAGAAATTCTGTTAGTAGAAACACTTAATGACAGAACATGGTTTCTCACATAAATTAGGCAGTGTTACTATTTCCGTAAGATGTACTTTCAAACTTCTTAGATAACTATCAAGGTAAGAAATGCCCCCTCAGGCACAGTTTATTTGTACTGAGGGCTACAGGATGCTAAATTCTAGTCATGCCTTATGCCCACCCCCAAATTTAACATGTAAACTCATTACAAAAACTTTACAGCCCAGAGCTGTAGGTGTGAAGGGGGGTGGTTTGCATAATGACAAGGTGAAGTCACAGAAAGTTGCTCAAAACCCACGTAAAAATTTGCCTAATTCATATGAGATTTGGAGACAGTATTGGGAATGGAATATGCAAGCTGGGAAGCAGTTCTGATCAGTGTTCAAAAATATTACTGTTGAAGAGCTCTAGAACAGTAATCGTAATGCGCCAAGATCCAACACTTATGTGAAAGCAAGAAAAAATAAGAAATCAACTGCAGTTGTATTTAATTTCAAAGGAGGGCGAATTATATGTAATTATGATGCTTTTAAAAAGTGCAAAAATCCTTGAAGGCAGCATGGAAACTATTCAAAGACACTATCCCAGAGGCTCAGACCATATGCACAGCTTTCACTAAGAACTTCAGAAAAACCAAAAGGAATCCAGACAGTCTAAACAAGTTAAATAATAGCCATAAGGAGGGTAGTTAGAGCAGGACAGCACCCTTTGAAAAGCTTAAGCATCCAAATAAAGGAAAACAGGAAGATTTTCTGCATTGGAAGGTGAGATACAAAAGTCCGAGAAGTCAGGCTAAAAAAAGTGAAGAACTGGATACAGATTAAATCTGGAAACTAATAAAGCCTTTTGGAGAGGAATTAGGAGCAGGGAGCCTGCCAGACACTCACTAAGGTTAACAGACATTCTAGACATGCAAGATGCACCCAAGGATAAAGGCTGGGCAGAAAAACAAGGTACATTTTTGTATGCACGTTTATTGGGAAGGAACCTGTGAAGAGCTAACGTGAGAATTCTTCCTGGCAGAAAGTGCATCAGATTTGTCTCAAATCAAAATCCCAGCAGGTGATTCAACAAACAGACATGAACACTAACAAACCACTCAGATGTGGTGGCATCCACAGAACTCCTCAGAAGTGAAAACCAGTTCCTCTGCACCAAAGAACAGGAAGTTGCCCACTATCACACCTGAGCAACTTGGTACCAATTGACTGCAAAACTGGCATCTGTGCAGGTAAGTGAATGGAAACTCTAATAAAGACAGTAACTACTGTGCTTACTGATTCTTCAGAAAGAGTAATCAACAGCTGTCACGTGGACAAGGGAGATCCACTTGATACCGTCTCCAAGAGGCATCTAAGAGTTACTCACCAAACACTGCTAAGGAAGTCAAATCTTGAGATATGAAAGCAAGTCCTTACATGCACAGAAAACTCGTAAGAAAAAACAGAAATGGACAAGATACACAGATCCCACCCAGATGTGTACTGGGACCTATATTGTCAACAACTTCAAACAATCTGTAACAGCAACTGAAGAGCGAGGAAGTGAAATTTGCCAAAAGTAAACCATTTTGGTGGCATGAGAATCAGGCCTGGTTGTGAAGAACTGGGGAGAGATTTCTTATTCAGTGACTGTTCAAAAGAGCTGACCAACTTCAATGGAAAAAATGTGCAGGATAGTGCACATGGGAAAAACACCACCAACTTCATATAAACTACCCTAGTTCTAGCAAGTGCTATGAAGGAAAGTCAACTCAACATTCAGTAATGGCAAAAAAGCAGGAATTGGAAAGGAATAGAGAACATAGCAAAATGAAAAAAATATGAGAAGCAACTGCAAAAACTTGAAAAGAGTTTGCAAAACATTAGTGAGGGAGGCATGGCAGAGGAACATAAAATCACACATGGAACTGAGAACATGAGTAGGCAACACTGATTATTTGCCTGCTCCAGATAAAGGTTTTGGAACCATCAACTAAAACTAGCAAAAGACAGGTTCAAACAGACACTTCTCAACCAGTTAAACTGACAGTACTATCACTTCCTTAGTTACTTGAAAAAAGTGTTTACCTACTTTCACAGGAATTCTCTGCACAGCATGCAAAAAACCACTTAACAAACCAAAACAAAATAACCCCATGACTTTTGAAGAGAAGTGGTGAAGACACCATTTACCCAAACATATGGTCCTGTTTCTTCACTAAAATACTAATAGAAGTAGATGGCATCTGAAACATAATTTCACATGAGTGGAAAAGACAGATAACTCATTTCAAAAGTAAAGCCAGAGCATAGCAAGGTCTCTTGCCAATAAAGTAGGATATTTGTGCACTGTTTACTACTGTGCCTCATTGATTACATGGATAATTTAGATTACTAACCTTGAGCTCCCGATTCACGTCCCATATCAAAGAGCAGACTAGCGCAGGTTACAGGTATAACCTCCATGTTATATAGACGCAGACTGAACACATTTCAGGGTGTGGAAGTGTGATTTTTCAGAAAGGGTAGTAAGAAAAAAACCCACAATTAAGGTCTCAGTGATGGCTCTCAAATTTTAAAGAGAAAAGGTGTGCCAAGCCATAGAAGTGGCAGTAAATGCTTTGTGTAGCTACATGTTTAACAGGAGTGAAACCTGAAGACTGAGGAAAGCAACAAAACACAGAGAACTGATTTTCATCTTGGTTTTTTTGTTGTTGTTGTTGTTGTTTTTTTCCCCCCCAATCATTTAGTTGTGCTGAACTTTAGTCTGTTAAGAAAGGGTCAAGTAAATTATTTACAAAGAAATATTGCACCCAAAGATGGTAGTTGGACTACGGCAGCCTAACAAATCCAGAACAAGATTAAAAACAACCAGTGGTAAGAAAAGTGTTAATTAATATTTAAACAATTCCAAGTAAGGACACTTCACGAGAAAGAAGCACACCTGGAAAACAGATTCCCAAATGACATATTTTCTTCCACGTTTACGGCAATTTTCAAGAAGTACTTAAATAAAGCTTTTATTGAGAAATTTTTACACTGCTGTTGAACGTTCCTTTTGTTACAATTTCACTATACAGTTGATGTAACTAGATGGCTTGTCTGCCATCTGTCCCCTCAGCAAATGCTAGGCATTCTGTTCCAAACCAACCAGACCATCTGCAATTAATAGGTTGCCAGAATGACTGTATACGTATACTTCACATGCTCCGAGTTGGTGATTTTTCTTTATTTGGCAACAAGCAAAGCCAAATATTTCCAGTGAAACCCAAGAAAATACCACAAAACCATAGGGACTGAATAGCCTTGCTGACCTCGCCAAACCAATACAACCTGAAATTCATAAATACAAGGAAATAAAAGACCTTCCACTCATGGCAGTAGGAAAAGATTTCTTAAAACAGATTTAGTTGTGCCCCTGGGAAACCTTGGCACGCTATAGAACCTCCATCCTTGGGAGAATTTAACAAAGAGGTGACATACACAGACCTGTCCAACATGCTCCTCTGTCGGTCCAGCCACAGCCACAGGTGGCTGTGCCATCTTTGGCTTGGCACGGCCTCCTCACTTACTCACCTGGGGAGTCTGGAATCACGTCCCCAGTGGAGCTACAGCCGAGGGGATCCCCGTGCTGCCTCCGCACAGCCTGGAAGGGCCAGGGACTGTGCTGCTGACCTGCCCCCTGAGAGAGGCTGGAGCCCCTGAAGAAAGAGGGACCTTCCTTACTTACGAACCATTGCACGACTGCCTTTCATCTAAATAACAAAACCAGTGACCTGTCGGTCACCTGTTCGGTCACCCTTACAGGTACAAACACGCCAGCACAGCGCCGGTGCCAACACAAGCTATGCAGGTCAGTTTCAGGAGCACGGACAAGCGTTTCAAAACGACTCTGGCGCCGAGCACCGCCGGCATCCTCCGGGAGCCGGAGCGCGGTGACAAACGGCAGACCGGGGCGGCCCCGGCCCCGCGGGGGCTGTGGGGCGGCCACAGCCTCGAGTGCCCCCGAGCCGCGCCCGCCCCGCGCCACCCGCTCCCCACCGCGGCCTTCCCGGCACCGACACCGGCCCAGAGCCCCGGCCCGGCCCCCCTCGCCTCCCCTCCCCGCCGGCAGCTCCTCCCGCCGCCGCCGGGGAAGCCCCGGGCCTCCCTCCGCACCGCACGCCCCTCCCGCCCGGCGGGGAAGAGCCGCCGGAGCCCGCCCGCGGTGCCGCCCGGCGCTGGCCGTACCTCGGCGGAAGGCGGTCAGGGTCCTGCCGCGGGCTCGCAGGAACGCGTCCCCCGCCGCCGCCATCGCCCCGGCCCCGCGCGGCCGCTGCCGGATCCGCCGGGCCGAGGGGGCGGCACCGCCTCCGCCGGGGGCGGCGCCTGGCGCGGGCGGGGAGGCCCCGCGGGGCCCGGCGGTGGCGGCCGCGCTGAGGGCGGAGGGGGCGGCCCGAGCAGGGCGGGTGTGAGGGCAGGGAGCGCTGGGCAGGCGGCTCCGGAGCGAGCGGTTCCCTCGGGTCAGCCCCGGGAGCAGCCGCTATGTGCGGGGGGCGGCCCCTGGGACCTGCCCCGGAGGTGCGCTGGCTAACCTGCGAACTGAAGAAAACTGGAGTCAAATAAAAGCACTGGCAGCCTTCCTCTAGACCTTTATGGGTTGTTCTCCGGGTCTGGTTTCCTCAGCGTTTCCTTGCACTCACCAAGTTGGGCATCAACAGTAACGTCTCCTTGAAAAGGAAGAGAGAACTTGGATGGAAAGAGCACAGGCACAGTGTCTCTGTGCCCACTCCGTGTCACTGCCCCCAGCCCGGCTGGGCCCTGCCTTGTCCATGGCAGTGCTCAGGGCCCATATGGCTTCTATTTTTCTCAGTACCAAGGTACACAGTCAGGTGATGACTGAAATACGTGAAATACATGAAATACATGACCCTGGCGAAGCAATGTTTTCTTAATCCTTTCTGAACTGAATCCTTTTTGATTCAGCGATACAGGAATGATGACATGGTTATGATTTCCCAGTTGAGCAGCTGGGACCCCGTTACTCTGCAGAGCTCTGAGTGCCTCTATTCATCGTGTGAAATCTGTCACTGACGTGCTAGATAAGGTTAATGTTGTCAATTAAAATGCATTCCTATGGCTAGATTATTTTCCCCTCTGTAAAATGTGGGTATTATTATCCACAAATAAAACCAGCTTCATTCCTGCTTGTAAACTGCTTGATGATCATTAGATGGAAAGTGCTAGAGGAAGTCTTTTTTATTAAGTAGTTTTTGTCAATTCCTCTCTTTATGAGGCAGCATGTGGTATATTAAGCAAATAAAAACTAAAGTGCATTTTTGAGTCTCCGGTGCGGCCTATCTAAATATCCTAACACTGTCATAGGTGATCACAATCTCATGGTGGAACTGCTCATGCTAATATATAGGAGCAATTGGCTCAATCATGCAAAGAAATTTTGTACCTTTTCTGTTTCTTTTCCATTTTCTTCTCATCTGCTTAATGGGGCTAACTAGCCATAACCCAGAATATGTGACTGCTACATGACTTCAGCTAAGCTCAGGATGAAGTTTGCAAGTGAAATACCGTCAAGATCAGGCCAATGAATGTAGCAGGAACACGAGTCTTTTGGCAAGACAGCACAGTGTGATTCTGGAGCACACGGCTGTGAGATTGTGATCAGCACACCGAATTCCCTTTGTCTTATTTCACCTGGTTATGTTGCTAAAAGCAACCATTTTTCCTGTCAAGTTATGCATGTCCGAAAGATTGAATCAGACCTGGCAGAGATGTGGATTCAAAGACCTTCTAGATTTGTCTAAATCTCTGTAATTACACAGCCCTTTTTCCTAGGCATGTGTAGGGGGCTCTCCTCCTGTTGTCAGTGCTGTACTCAATCTCTTTGCAGGATGGGTTGTGGATGAGCCCTGGGGTGCTCAGCTCTTTGTAGGTGATGGTGAAGGTGAATATGCAGCCTGCCTATGTTGCCTCCTCTTCAAACGGAATCCTCTGATATTATATCAGCTTGACTATTGTCTGCTGTAATGAGGATACCACAAGACATTTCCATTTTGTAATTTGAACACATTTTCTTGCGATTTTGCAGCCTGAGTGCAGAAGTGTTTTCATCTGCAGAAATAAAGGGACATTTGCATATAAACGTGAGAACTGAGGGTGGGGACTGTGAGTGCAGGAGGGGGATTTCAGCTCTCTCCTGCTTGCCTTACTCTGCCAAATTTGAAGTATGCATTTTTGAAGCCAAGATCATGGACCAAATGCTATACAGCTAAACTTATTTTACTATGACTAAATCGTTTAAAGTTACTACTGATCTATGTTAGTTTAATTATAGACTTTCATGGACTTATTCCAGATGAGGCCTAGATAAAGCAGCAGAATTTTGTCTTAGGACTTGATTTGTTATACAAAGTGTCATGAATATAATGGTACTGAATAAATAATTTACAGTAGCACGTGCCTGGTCTTATTTATAGGGATAAATTGAGAATAATTGTATTAATTTTATAAAGTTAGTTTGAGCATACAGAGGAGAATATACCATTCTGGAAGGCCATGAAAATAAGAGATAAAAAGTGGGAAATGGAGGCATTGAAAAGGAAGGGCTTATAAAAGGTTTAGCTTAGTGAGGACTGTGATTAGAATAGTGCAGATCTATGGAGTCCAGATCTTTTAAGACTTCCTCTAGTATGCATTAGGTCATGCTGCCAACCCTTACAGGTTTAAGCACCTTGGAAGTTCTGAAAAATACAGTAACAGACATGCTACTTTATTTCTTACTGCAGTTTAGAAGAAGCTTGTATGCACTTAGAGAGATGTGGGTAAAGAACTAATAAAACTAAGTATTAATAAAACAAGTAAATTATTCAAAAATTTCCTATCTCTGTTGAGCAAATCATATAAACAGCTGTGGTGGTGCCTCCCCCTCTACCCCCAGAGGGGAGTAAAATAGTCAAAAGCGGTGGTTGAAGGAGGGAATCTTTTTTCTATTGTCAGCAAATTACAAGAAGACAACAAATTACAAAATGGGAAGAGTACAAGAGGTGAAAAGGACATAACAAGGTTGGTCTAGACATTAGAATTAAAATTACAAAGCACAGCCAGATAGGCAGATTTGAAAGTAAACCATTTTAATCTTAATCTTACCCATAGAATAGAATGACTATCTGCCATCTGGAATTCAGGGAATCCAATGAAGATCGGAGGTGTAAACAACACACACAGTGTTACCAACATCTGTTTTCAGTGTGTGCTGATATATCTGAGTCCTTGAGGGATAAGTTAGAGAAAATAACGGAAATTGATAAAACCTGATGATATAAAAAAGGATCACACATAATTGTATTTGTTTAGAAAGAATATGGACTTACACACACTGAAAATAAATAATGCATACAATGTATTGTCTGTTTTCTATGAATCTCATTTTCCAGCTCCCATAAATCCTTGAACAGGACAGCCTTCCCAGCAGATGTAACATTTTGGAAGGTTTGGCATGTGATACAGCTCCTATTCTTCTCCCAAGAACAGCTAATGGATTCAAATCAGTAAGTTCTGAAAACTTAGAGTAGTTATCTCATCTATCTCCCACTCTATCTCCTGTTCCATTGCTGAGAGTAAGACTCCAGGATGACTATGCCATTACAAACACATTGGCAGTCTGAGCCTAAAACATTACAGAAGATGATAAAACTTAAGGTCTACTTCTTTGATGTTCAATACAAACAAAAAATGAATTACTACATTAAAGAGTGCTACCCATGTTAAAAAAGGTTCTGTTCATATTTGGCCTTGATACCATTTTCAAAGGACCCACAAAACAATACAAAAACCCATTAAAAATGTTTTGTGCAAACCAGCTTAAAAAGGCTGGTTGACCAGGCCCAATATTTTGTTGCTAGGAAGGGAACAATGATGACATTGATTATTTCCACAGTTAAGAGTCTACAATGTAATTGATTTCTATCTGACTCATTTAGTGTGGGCAGGCTCCATTTGTTCAAGAAACCTGTAATATATTCCTTGAATCACTGTAACTATGAGAGATATAAAAGTTGATGTAATGAGTTAAACACACTATTTAACTCAATTTGTTGTGCACACTGAATTCCAGTTTCTGACACACATACATGTTCTACCTAGAGCTACTGGTCCTCTGTCTAAGATGTTCATTTTTTGTGCTGCCAAATATTCAAAAGTCCTACTGTATTCAGGGTGCCTCTGATTTTAGATTTTCCTCAGATTTCATTTTCGGGTACACTGAGTACTTGCACCTTTCACTGAGTACCTGAGACCTGGGCTGCCAGCAAATTAGAAAGTCATGACCAGTAAAGACTCCAGTGAATGAGAGAGCTAGGCTAGAAGGAATTATTTGATCTAGTGCATATTTCTGAAACATTAAGTGTCTGCTCCTGAAGAGCCATGGATATTTGGGTCATGAGTTTGTATTGAAACGTCTAGACAGAAAAAATGTAGGAGTCCAGAAGGGCTAGAGCTAAGTGAAAAAACCCAAGGCATTAATTGAAGTACCTCTGTCCAAAGTGATGCAGAAAATTTGTGATTGACTGTCACCTCATCCTGAACCATCTCAGAACTTTGTGACTTAAATGTTCTCCAGAATTAATCCTGTCAGAATTGGACAGTATTTGCCTGCTATCTAAAATGTATGATTCCTGCTGCTTATCAAGTTCTGTCCAGTCACAAAAGAAAGGGAATTAGGCATATAAATAGATTTGAAGAAGCTATTTAGTGTATATATACATATATGTACCTCTGTGTTTTTAGAATACTACAGGTTTCAGGTATATACTATTTGACTTGGTCTAAGAAGAAAATCTAGATTTAAGAGCTTTTATTCGATATCTTGATCTAAAATTTGGACTTGTTGGACTTTTATTTTAAACAAACAGGTTTTCTGCTAATGTACAAGCAAAAGCAGAAATCTGGCAGAAGAAGCAGTATTTAGTTTATACATCTGTATGCATGACTCTCAGATTCCTTTCTCCTTCTTTGCTGATAAGTGACATTTTATTAGAAAAAAATAAACCCCCAGATGATCATTAAACTCAGTTGCTATTTCTGCCAAAAAAAAAAAAAATCAAAGAAGCAGCAATCCTTCAACTATTAAAATTCAATAAACAATCAGAGGACTTAGATTTTTTTTCAACTAGGCATACAACAAGGACATTCTTGCTTTACTGTTACATCGTTTAACCCAAAATGCATTGCAAATGTACTGGATGAATCTCTTTGTTTCCTTGCTCAAAGCAGAAAGTTATTTTTCAGACTGGATAAACTGAATTTTTAAATTACAGGTGACATGCAAACAGTTCAGGTGTTTTGAAAAAACTGATA